TTCAGCTTTTTGAGGAAATGCCAAACCAGAGTGGTTGTACCCTTTTACAATCCCATCAACAATGTATAAGAGTTCCTATTTCTCCACATGCTCTCCAGCATTTATTACTTGCTGTCCTGTTAAGCTTTGCCACTGCTACTGGGGTGAGATGGTATCTCATTTTGGTTTTGATTTGTATCTCTCTTATTGCCAGTGATTTTGAGCATTTCTTCATGTATATGTTGACCATCTGAATATCTTCTTCTGTGAAAAGTCTTTCCTTGTCTTTTGCTGATTGAGTTGTCAGCCCTTTTCTTGTGGAAGCCTTGTAGGATTCTGTAAACTTTCATTATGAGACCCTTCTCTGAGATGGCATTGCAAAATAATTTTTCCTAGTCTGTAGGTTTTCTTTTCATCATATGGGGAAAAGTTTTTGATGCACCTAGAGACTTTATCTTTCAAAGGATGTTGATGCTATCCTTTCCTGGTGGTGCATTTCTGGCTGTATTTGCCACTAGTCTTTTACATTTCGTCCCATTTTGTCTCTTACATCTTTGTTGTTTGGGGCTTTACCCTAGGTCTTTGATCCACCTAGAGTTGCTTTGTGTTTATGATATGTGGAACCTGCTTCAGTTTTCTGCAGGTAGATGATCAGTTTGCCAGTACCATCTGTTGAAGAGGTTGTCATTTCCTCATTTGATCGGTTTAGTTTCCTTGTTGAATATCAGTTGATTGTAGATGGTGGTTGCTGTTAAGTGCTGTCGAGTTGTAGGCGACTTATAGCGACCCTGTGAATGAAAGTCCTCAACACTTGTGTGACTTTTCATCCATTCTCCAGGTTCATAGGGTTTCTGGAGGTAAGCTTTTACGGAAGTGGATGCCACTCCTGCTTCCAAGCTTGTTTTAATTGGGGAGTGCCACCAAACACTGCTGCCATGGGAAACCATTAACGCATTTGACACATCAGTGCCACAGTTTTCGGATTCACAGCAACCACAAGTTGCCTCTGTATGTAGATGGGTTAATTTCTGGGTTCTTGGTTCTGTTCCATTGGTCTGTGTGCCTGTCATTGTACCAGTACCATGCTATTTTGGTTACTACAGCTGTGTAGTAGGTTTTGAGATTAGGAAGTGCTATGCCTCCCACTTCATTTTTGTTTTTCAAGAGTACTTTGTTTATCTGAGATCTCTTTTAATAAGGAGACACTTTTATTCTTTTCTAATGGCCTAGTGTAAGAAGTTATGGTGCCAACTCAAAGGCAGGTGGATTGAATCCTCCAGCTGCTCTGTGGGGGAAAAGATGGGCTGGGTCCTCTCATCTGATTTATAGCCTCTGAAAACCATTTGGAAGGTCAGTTCTGAGTCAGTTCCAACTAGATGACAATGAGATTTCAGCTTGCATGGTTCCATGATCAACACTCTTGCCAAAGCAGTCAGGAAATCAAAAGATTAATTGCATTAGGAAAATCTTCTGTCATGGACCTCTCCAGAGTGCTAAAGAGCAAGGATGTCAGTCTAGAGATTAAGGTGCACCTGATCCAAGCCATGGTCTTTGCAGTTACTTGCTATGCATCAAGAGCTGGACAATGACCTAGGATAACAGAAGAAAAATTGATGCCTTTGAGTTGTGGTGGTGGTGAAGAGTATTGAACATACCATGGACTGCCAAGAGAACAAACAGATCTGTCTTGGAGAGGGTGAAACCACACTGCTCCTTAGAAACATGGATTTTGAGACTCTTATCTCACATATTTTAGGCATGTAGCCAGGATGGTCTTTGGAGAAGGACATTGTGCTTGGAAGGGTCAAGGAACAGCTCAGAAGACTTCAGATGAGATGGATTGATACAGTAACTGGCGTAATGAGAGTAGATGTACCAGAGACAGTGAGATTGGCTCAGGATAGGGCAGGGTTCAGAGCTATTGTACATAGGATCACAGTGAGTTGTTGTCGACTTGACAGCACATAACAATAACATACCACTAGCTGTAATTTTTTGTAGTCGCCCTTTATCAGGTTGAGGAAGATTCCTTATATACCTAATTTGCTGAAGCTTTTTATCTTTTATCAAATACACTTTTCTGCCATTACTGAGATGGTCATTGACTTTTTTTCTTTTAGTAGTATGATGAGTTAAAAAAGACAGAATTTTATGGTCTATAAATGATATACCAGTATATATTACCAGCTAGGTAAAAAAAATCAGCTAAGTGAGATATTCATGAGAGTGTACAGCAAAGGAGCATTCATCCACTTATGATGGGAGAGGAAAGTGGCAAGATTTCTTTTACTTTTTAAAGGAAAGAACTGTTCAAGAGGAATAATATATCATTAGGCATTATCTGCACTACAGCAAAGGGAACTAGGGATGGAAGAGAGAGGAAATTATGCAGTAATGAATGAATGAAAATCTAACTTTTCTGTAAACTTTTGTTAAGATTACAATAAAGAAGGGTGGGGAAGGATAAGCATAAGAAATGAGGGGGTGTGTAAAAAAAAGAAGTCAAGAAGTGGAGTATCTTTAGTCAACATGTTATATCCTTCCAGCTGTGGGAATCTGAGACTTCAGGAGCAGAAATGAAGGAATTTTTTGCAGTTTAGAAAAACTCAGATAGGCTCAGAATTCCCACATGTCCCAGCCCAAAACACAAGCTTTATGGTTAGCAATCCCTTGCCTTTTAGTCTCTGAATCCTCAGTTTAGCTTGCTGCTCTTTGCTTTCCCCTCCTTACCCACGCTAACCCCTACCAGACTGCCTGCCAGCCAGCTCTGAAATCAAAGGTTAACTTGAAGTGAGTTTCCACATCCATGTTATCCTGGGATTCTTCAGAGACAGCAGTGAGAGGGAGATTCCCAGGTCCAGTCCTAGACAAGGAGGAGTTGTTGTTTTTTATTGCCGTTGAGTTGAGCACGACTTATAGTGATTCTGTGAACAAAAGACCTGAAGCCTTTCTATAACTATCGTCATTTCTCAAAGTTCATAGAGTTTCCAGAGGCATGTTGTTTAGGAAGTGGATGCCACTCTTTCAAACAGGCAAGGAGAGACTGAGAAGATGGGAAAGGGCTTTCTCAAGAAAAAAAATAAGAACACAGATACACATTATCCCCAGAACTGCAAAGACAAGTGGACAGGTGATTTGAGACCAGCAGGTAGTTTAGACATATAGTGGCACACTGTGTTCCTCAACTGAGCGGAGAAGGGATTCCAGGAAGGAGGCCTAAGGTAGTGCAAGAATCCACACCCTGTCAAGATTCTCCGTGGTGCAAGGTTCTCTGATCTTCCCAGTCAACTTTTGCTTTCTGCTTACAATGGAGGGACACGAATGGGAGAGGAGTCAGGGGTAGTTGTGAACCCAGGACTTGGCTCTGGCACGTTCCCCTAGTTCTCTGAGCCATCACTGCCTCTCCGTTTCAGTCTGATCTTCTTTTTGGCCTCTTGAAGAAGAGGTCCAGCTAAGATAGGGTGAACAGTTATAGAGACCAGGCAGAATGGACCGGGAGTCACTGCATAGAGACTGGGATCCTGTCTTGTTCAGAAGATGGCTGAGAAATTCTTCACTCCACCGTGTAGAATTTTCTGTCCCTCTTCAGTTGAGGTGCCCAGATGTCTCACATTGGGACCTTCACTCCCAACTCTCAGCATGTAGGGCATATTCTGCCAGTAGTATGGGACTGATGATTCGCCACTTGTGCTTTGTCTGCTTGAAATGTGGGTCCGGGACGAGGAAGAACATCTTTGTCAGCTGGCCCTTTCAGACGTTAGGAAGATGCTTCATGGCATTACTATGGAGACAGGCAGTGTTCTGGAAGCTGCCTCTTGGAGCTGCAAGTAGGGCCCAAATCTGGTCTTGTACGTAGTCTGAAACCTTTACCCGAATCTCCAGGCCTAGAATCAAGGTGTCTGGGAACAGTGGTGACAGTTCCACTAACAGGCCACCATAGCCGCAGTCTGTGCCTATCAACTCCACTTGGGCCTGAGATCTGTTTTTATCTTTGGGTCATCATGGCTCTGATTGTGGGCCAGTGGAGCAAAGAACTCTGGGTATAGCTCAGATGAGTCCATTTCCCATGGCTTCACAGGACAGAGCAGCGTATGGTCCAATCTGGGGTTGGAATGTGCACGTTGCCGAGAGTAGCACTTCTACTAAGGCTGTGAGGCCTCTGCTTGAGTCCCATATTTGGGCTCAGCTCCTGCCATGATCCACAGTCTGGGATTTCTACACTGAACCCATGTGGAGGTCAAGGCACCTGGCACGATAATGACACAGCTCTACACATTGAAAGAAATGCAGCAAAATGTTTTTAACAAAACCTTTGACATGCCTTAGTAAAATTATAGATGTGCACATCCACCTGAGAATGTGGTCTAGAGAAACATGTTAATGGACTTGTAGAGATCCCACTAACGATAGCAGTCTTGTTCACAGCAGGAAAAACTGGAAACTCAAATGTCACAAGATGGTGGAATGTGTTAATTGCTCTTGTTAATGCAATGGTGTAACACAGAGTAGGGAAAATATCAGTTGACGGCCATGTGAATCACATTTGGTGAATTTCAAAACCAATGTTGAACTCCAGTTTGAAGAGCATATTCCATCAAGTTCCAATGATGTCAGGTTAAAAAAATGGGCTAAAATAGTCTATAGTTTGAGTTTATAAATGTGAGGAAAGTAAAGTCCCAAGCCAGTGATAGGCACTGTTGTGAGTTGTATACTTAACAACAGAGAGGAGGTTGTTGTTGTTGTTGTTATGTGCCATCAAATTGCCTGTGACCCACAGCAACCCTATATACAATAGCTCTGAAGCTTGCCCTGTCCTGAGACAGTCTTACTGACTCCTACATACCTATCCCCATTGCCCCAGTTACTGTGTCAATGCAATGCATCTCATCCAGGGTCTTCCTCTCCTGCACTGTCC